CAGGGTTTCAAGACCAGCCTGAGCAAGAGCGAGACCCCCATCTCTATTATAAATAGAAAGAAATTAGCCAAACAACCAAAAATAGAAAAAAATTAGCTGGGCATGCCGCCACTAGGTGGCATGTGCCTGTAGTCCCAGCTACTCCGGAGGCTGAGGCAGGAGGATTGCTTGAGCCCAGGAGTTTGAGGTTGCTGTGAGCTTGGCTGATGCCATGGCACTCTAGCCCGGGCAACAAAATGAGACTCTGTCTTAAAAAAAAAAAAAAAAGCTAGAGAACAAGCGTGTGTATGGGGCGATCCATGCATGTCAGCCTCTCTGGGCACACAGTAGAGTGGGAAAGGCATGGGTCTGGGGGGCCGTATGGGCAGCCTCCATCCCTTTTGTCCTCAGCATCCACTCTTGTGTTTGTCCAGGTGAAAATGTGTGTCCCCCACGTAGGAAACACATAGCATCTCATCAGCTGCCGTATGACAGGTCTGTGTTCCCACCTGCAAGCTGAACTATCAGCCACCACAAGCACTCTTCATACAAGGGACAGGAGGGAAGAAGAAAGGACAGACGACAAATGGACAGAAATCAGATCTGCTGCAATTCCTACTTCTGTAGCTGTTCACAAAACCTAAGCTAAGAATCACAGTCTTCCTTTTCCACCACCCCTTCCGTTTCCTCCCCCGCGCCCCAGCCTCTGCCTGCATCTCAGCCAGACGAAGTCCCTTGTGTGGTAAAGTGACTTAAACCCACAGACATGGAGTGCTTGATGCCCCTGCTCCTCTGGGAGCTGATGTGGTTTTCCATTGACAAGACCCCTGGGCCAGGGGGTGTTGTAAGACCAGCCCAGCAGTCCCCTGGGGCCAGTTTCAGTCCCCCAGCCCTCCTGGTGCAGTGGTAGTACCTGTCCCTCTTGCCGATTGAGATCAGCCATCTCGGTCTCCTCCACCTGTTTTTCTCAATAATAAACATTCCTTGAAAATCGATGTGAAAGATAAATTCACTGTGGCTGTGGTTGCCTCTGAGATAAGAAGACCTCAGCCTTCAACCATTGGTGTCGTGTCATTTTCCTTATCTGATGTGTCTCCATTCAAATCTTCAAATCTTAACCACCCTTCAGAACAAAGCCTCCTGTCTTCATTTCGATTCCTATATGAAGCATTTTCTGCTAGGATATAATATGGTATAAATGGAGAACCAGAAGAAAATTTCAAATGATTCCTTTTGCTGTTATATATGATCCACACGTGACTCCTATTTCCCAGGCAACCCACGCAGGGCACCGCTGTGACAGTCACACGCAGCTGCTCTGGCTCTGCTCCCATCCACTCCGCCGCAGCCATCACCTCCTTCCTAGACCCTCACCCTGGCCTTGCTTCTGCCCTTACCCCTCCTGGACTTACTCTCCATCCTCAGCCACAGCGAGCTGTATAAAACACGAGCCGTATCAAGGCTCCCATGCTCTAAACCCTCTGGTGGCTTCTCCTTAGTCCAAAACAGGATCCAAAGTCCCACGCTAGCCTGCAAAGACCCCCAGGCCTGGTCCGGGCCAGCTCTCCGGCTCATCTTCAGCTTTGCCCCTCACCCCGCCTGCTCCAGTCGCAAGCTCCCCACTGCTTCTTCAACACCCCAAACTTGCCCCGTCTCAGGGCCATATCACAGGTATTCCCTCACCCCACGCCCTCACTCTGGTCAGATACCTGCTCCTCCCAGAGGCCTTCCCTGGTCTCCTTACCTGAATAACCCCCATCCAGTCCTACCCATCCCCTCCTTTGTTTCTCTTCACTTATAGGCACCTGTTACCATACTGTGTGTCCTCTATTCTGTTTCCGTGAGAAGGTGAGTTCCATGAGACCAGGGCTCTGTCTGTAAGGCATGTACCACCATGCCCCCGGCATAAAGTTAACACCCATTAAGTACCCACTGAGAATTAAGTCAATGGCCAAAGTAAATAAATAGCAGCCTTCATGTGTGGAAAGTACAACAAAGAAAAATGAAGTGGTGGGGGAGAGGGAGAGGGGAGGGTGTGGAGGGCAGCGAAGAGGCTGTCTTTGACAGGATGGCCAGGGTAGGTCTTTCTGAGGCAGTAACATTTGAGCAGGTACCTGACTGAAGGGCGGGAATGACCATGTAATACTTGTGGGAGGAGCAAGGCTGGCGTGTGGGAGGCCCAGTGAGGAGGCCTGTGGCTGTGGCAGTGCGGGGCAGGGCCCTCTGGGAGGCTGGGCAGGAGGCAGGACTGTGGCGAAGCTTGGAGTTCCATTCTCAATGTGAAGGAAGCCACTGGGGGAAGCAGGGAAGTGCCCAACCTAATGTTTTTGATTTTTTTTCTTTCTTTCTTTCTTTTTTTTATTTCATCATATTATGGAGGTACAAATATTGTTAGGGTTACAAATATTGCCCCAGCCCCCCTTCCTCCCCCCAATGTGTCCAATCCCCCGGTGGTGTGCACCACACATGTTATGGAAGCATACACCCCTTTCCTCCTCCCCCCTCCCGCCTGCCCACCACCCAATAAAAAGTTTTGTTTTGTTTTGTTTTTGACATTTTGGTTACATTGTATATCTTTGCCTCTCCCTAAGAAGGGTTAGAGTTATGCCCTTCCCCTCCAAAATGCTCACCACCTCCCTAAGAATGGGTCCCTCCTCCCTCGAATCCCTGGTGAGCATTGCCACCATTTGAAAACCATAGATTTAATTAGTCAGTACCAATCTGATGGTGAGTAGATGTAGAGCCCATTTTCCATGTCTTGTGTCGCCTCACTTTGGATAACGGGCTTAAGCTTAATCCAGGATAGCATAAACGGTGCTAGCTCACCGTCATTTCTTAGGATTGAGTAATATTCCATTGTGAGGATATACCACCTTTATGGAAAAGAATTTGGAGATACCTCAAACAGCTAGAAATACCATTCGACCCTGCAATAGCATTGTTGGGCATCTACCCAAAAGAGCATAAGACATTCTATTATAAAGACATCTGCACCCAAATGTTTACAGCAGCACAATTCCCTATTGCACGGTCATGGAAACAACCCAAGAACCCATCAATTCATGAGTGGATAATTAAAATGTTTTTGATTTTTAAGTTAACTTTGACTCCTGAGTTAAAAACAGACAGTAGGAGGACATTTTGAAACTACAATATTATGGTAATTCCAGGGAAAGGGGACAGTGGCTTGGGTTGGCTTTAGCCATTGAGGGAATAAGAAGGGAGCAGACTCAGCCAATATTTTGGAGTTAAAGCAGACAGGATTTCTGACATATTCAGTGTGCAGGGCTGGGGAAGAAGAACCCAAGGTTGACTCTAGCTGCTTCTGAAATATATCTGACATGATGGAAAAGTTATAATGTCTCTTAGGAAAACCTTTCAATTTTAGGGGTAGTCTTGCACTTTATGGTTCAACTTCTAGAAGACTGGCCCCAAACAAGTACAATATCAAATTTTGCTTAAGTCATTACCCTCAGACACATTTGGAAGAAAACAGGAAAGAGTCCTAAACCCTAGATAATACCAGAAATAATAATTCTATCATCCCTGGAGCCCAACATTGGTACCTCTCAGCACTTTATATGTTCTCACCTCTCACCACCAGGCTTGACCTAATCCTGTAGGAACTTGCCAAACAACTGGTGAGTGACCTGTAGAATAAATCTATAGTTTCTGATTGCTTGGAGAAGGAAGCACTTTAAACAGCTGACCACTGACTTCTTCTAATCATTGACTTTGAACTTCTGTGAAAAGACCTTTACAACCTCTTGAAACCCCTTCCCCCCAAGGAATGGCTCTTCAGTGGTGGCATCCTTTGTTCATGTTTTTCAGTAGAACAAATCCAACCTTTATCTCAACCTCTGCTCTCTCTTCTCTGTAGCACTGTACAGATTTTAAAGATGTACAACTTTCCCTGTGTGTGTGTGTGTGTGTGTGTGTGTGTGTGTGTGTGTTTCATATTTTGCCATCTTCCATCTATAAGACTTTTCTACCAGTGATAAACTCCACTCATAGGGAAGACTCCTGAAACACAGATCCCCTGATATTTTATTGCCTTATAGGAAGACTGGAGAATGCACTTTCTAATAGGCTTGAACTGAAACTAAAATAGTTCATGTATAGCAATAGAGAGGCCACATGTATTTCCCCCCAGCAACATTCTCCTTCCTTTTATTCGTAAACTGCTAATGATGCAGATGGATTCTTTTCAATTTCTTACCTTTTTTCTTTCAGAATTACATGCATGCTGAATCTATCTAATAAGTCAGTATAGGCAACGTAGCAGAGAGCCTTGAAATCAGATAGGCTTGACTCAATAGTGGTCAACTATTTACAGCTATAAAAGGTTTCTTAACGTGTCTCTAATTCAGTTTTCTCATTTATTAGAATAATACTAATAGCTACCTCATTGGCTTAGAGTCAAGAACAAATTCATGGGAATGATTACATGACAATGATGATGACGATGATATTGAAGGTGAAAAATCACAAACCCACAAGACTTAGGATATTCAAGTGTTTATTGAAGTCAAATAAACATGTTATAGCTCCATAATTATTATTATAAATATTGACATTAGACTTATACTCAAGTAGCAATATCAAATGTTTCTATAAATAAATCTATATTAATAAAATAGCATAAATAAAATGACTACTTATAACAATAAATAAATTTATAAATATAAGATATTGATTATAGAAGCATGAAGTTATTCAGGGTTTTTTTTCCCCAAAAGGAATAGGAAGTATCTTTTTTATGGAAATAGACAACTGCCTAAAAAATAAATTATTTTCTGTGCATAAAACATTAGGTACAATACAATGTTATACAATGTTATAAATATCTTTATACTTAGAAGGTCTGCCTTCTGGTCTCATAAACAGAAGTGACATTGGCTTCCTTTTTAAGTTAAGCAGGGATTCATTCGGATCCACCCATCATGGTGGAGTTTGGCTTCTCATTTTCCTTTTGGTGAAAAAAAAAAAAAAACCCTTCGGGGATCTTATTGAGATAAAAAAAAAAACCCTTCGGGGATCTTATTGAGATATCTAACAGGCAAGAAGGTTCAGTTATTCTTTTTCTGGCTATGCTCTGGTCAAATGCAGGCATTTCTCAGGGCCATGAACAGCAAATCCAGTTCTCCAATTGCTTTGATCTCTCCACTCTCTCCAAGCTGTGAAAATAAGAACACAAAAGTATTTGAGCATTTATCATGTGTTTTCTAAAAAAAAAAAGAAAAATGGCATAATTAGGTTGCTAGAGAGAGAAACCCAGTTGTAGTCATTTGTGAAAGATTACTAATATCCTTTTAGCAAGAGTATAACACGATTTTGCCAAAGACCTGAAAATGATGGCGATCTGGGCACCTGCAGGCATCAATCTCAGGTGTACCTCATGCTAAGGAAGCTGTTTAACAGCTGGGCAGAGCGTTGGCCACCTTTCCTAACCAGAGCAGGCAGGCTGAAGCAATGCTAGGATGTGGGGGGTGGGGGGGAAGTGCCACCCATTAGGGTTTCATAGCCCATGACTATGACCAATTATTTACAGCAACTCAGCTCACATAGCCTTGAACTATATAATTACCAATACATTGAGGCTTTTTCTGTTCTCACCTTCTCGACAAAAGAGGAAAACAAAAACAGATTGTCCCTTTTGTGAGAAAAATACCAAATAAGTCCTTTCCCCTTGCTTTAGTTAATAGAAAGCCAGATAAAGTCCTAACATCCATTTTTTTTCTCCTTCTTCCAAGTAGTTTACAGAGGAGGCTCTCAAACTCAGTGGAAGAGAAAACCCACATTCGATCCCAAAGCATCACCCACTGAAATTCACCGAATCTATTCTATTGCCATTATTTAAAGAAAACTCCTGTCATCATCGTCTTCCATACAGTATTTTTTCTCCTTTCTCTTCCGGCTTTCTTCCATGCTCCCACCTTTCAGTACTTCCCTTGACATGATGCGGAAAAGATTTTTTTTTTATCTCTCAAGGACTCCCCCCAAGACTATAAGGAATGCTAAAGCTTACGCTGCCCTACTATCTGTCGTGTGTTCTACTACAGCCAGCCCTCTGCTTTTGCCTCCAGCTACAGGGAACTAGCTCCTCCCACCACTGCCCTCCCACTTCACCAGGCTCTGGCCAATGTTTCCTCCTTTGGTGCTGCCCCTGAATAACATTCCTCTCTTGCCTGTGCTACAGAGAAAAAAAGCGTCATCACTCTTCCACTTGGCAACCCATTGCAAATATGAAAGTTGATTCTCTCAACATGGAGTAAAGACTTTAAAAATCTCTGTCTTCCCACACAGATCATCATGAGATTTTTCTCTCTCACACTTTACTTTTCTAAAGACAACAAAGTAAGCTGACTTCAGGAATCTTTTAAAGAAGAAGTGTAAAGCACTTCTCGTCCATGGCATGCTAACATCCAGCCCTCCGCCTCTAGGTAATAGTTCTATAACAAGGAAATTGAGCTTCACACACACACACACACAAATCCAAATCCTTCAATTATCAAAGGAAGAAACAGCCATGTTGATTAAATTATGCCCAGGAAGAAATGCTTTTTAAAAATATCAAGATTTTAAAAGGGGGGAAATGAGGTTAAGCTCATTACTGAAAATTCCTCCAATGAGAGACTTTGTGTTTGAGTATTTCATTGCACCTGCTTGCAAGAGCATCACTTTCACTGCTATTAATCATTCCTCTGGTCTTGGGGTGAGTCACAATTGCTAGTCTGAGCCTTCCACTGTGGTTATTTCCACCAAATAGGCCATATAATGGTATCATTCACTGTAGAAATATGCCCTATTTCACAATAAACAGATGCCCACTGTTTTGGGATTTGTTGAAGGAGAGAAGGAAGAAATTAGAGAGGAAGATGAAGGGAGAAAGGAAGAGAAGAGGGTTAACAATTCAGACTCTGCTTCACTATAGCAAATCCATTATTAATATTTTCACTCTATCAGACACTGTGTAAAAGAAATCAGGGATTGTCTGCTCTTGTTTTTAAACTAAATTCAATAGCTGTTGGGTATTATATCATGATAATTAAATATAAGTATCAGTCATTCCAGAAGTTCACCCTGTACGAAAGTCCAGCTCTTTTGTTGTTGCTCTGAGTTTATTTCTCCAAATTTTAAAGCATCAAATTAAAGGCTTCAAAAATCAGTTCAAATAAATTTTTCCCCAAGCACTTTTCTCTTTTTGAACAAGTGCTTCTTCAGATTAGCATGAGTCAATAGGAATCTGAAATTTGCCTACTAATTAGTAATACCAAAACTAATATATATTATTGCTAGCAAAAGTGGAGGCCTGAGATTCAGGAGACCTGCATTCTGCCCTGGCTTGCCAGCACCATCCCCAGACGATGGGATAATGTGACTAGATGATCTAAGTTCTAGAATTCTAGAATTTGGCCAGTTCTCGAATTCTATGATTTGAAAAATTTGGAAATTGATTGATAGATATGTAGACACATCTTTATACACATGCACCTGAGTACTCAACCCAATGGTAGGAGAGACAAGTGAAACATCACAAAGTGGGAGGAATAAAAATAAAGGAAAGGAAAGAAAAACATTTGTCTCTCCTATTGGATGACTTAGCATTGATATTTATTTAATAGTTATCAGTATACCTTTTTCACTGTGTCTTTCAGCTGTTGCACATTCCTCTGGATATGCTGGTCATCACCCTCAATGTGCTACAAAATAAAAACAAGGGTAATTATTTTAATGCTGTTGTGCTGAAGCTTCATGAACCTCAGCGCCCATCTGAGTTATGTTACGATGCACCTGGAATTAAAGCTCTTAGTAAGTTTGCCCACAATGACCTAGATTTCACCAGTGACCTAGATTTCCCGAGCTCTTGAATTCCCTGGGACACCAAAATCCAGTCACTTCCCTTACAGGGGACCTCTCTGCATCTTTGAGAAATCCTACTGAGGTCTGCACTTGTGGAAAGAGTAGAGTGGTTTATGCAAATTCTGTCAGGAATAAAACCCTCATCGCGATTGCTTGCTCAGAACAAGAAACATACCTGAAACCCCTCGCTTGAAAAGTAAGCCCTCCTCAGCCTCAGTAAATACTAGGTCGCTTTCACTGTGCCTCACTCCACTCAAACATTTTTTCATAGTTTCAAATATTCAGAGGCATTGACTTCACACACCTCCGATTTTGTCACTTCCCATGACATCAAAGGAGCAGCAGTCTTTTCCCACCCACCACTGACATTTAACCCTTCCTATTTCCTTCTTTCTCTTTCACTTTTCTCTCTGCTCTTTCTCTCCACTGAACCATTTCCACATGTAGGCATTTTCCTTACAGCTCCCAACACCTCTCTCATCCTGCATAACCTGGGTTGCTCTTTTTTCTAGGAACAAACAAATGAGGCTTCCATACACTTGACTTCCAGACCCCATTCACCACCATGAACTCAATATGTGACTCAATTAAAGCAAAAACCAACACCCTGCAACTCCAAATGCCTCCCAATAATAGCGTTGCAGGGGCACTTCCTATGGCCAGCACAGGTGTAGGAGGAAGAAGGGAAGGTTGGGGGAACGGGATCTCAAGGGAAGAAGGAAGGAATCAGGGTGGGTGGGCGTGGGCTGAGAGAAGAACTTACACATGGGCTTAGTTTGTTGCTGAGCCTGGCCAGGAAGGGGACCACCTCTTGCATATAGGGCTGGAACCGATCAGACTGGGGGAGCAGCACGTCTTCAACGGTAAAGTTCAGCACCTGCTTCATCAGATAGCAGCGTTCTCTCATCTGCAGGTGGAAGCGAAAGAGCAGGGGTGGTATTAGGGGACCTCCAGAAGACCTAAACCTATCAGCACTCCAAGGAACCACGAATGGCACACTGCCTTGCTCATCACGACTATAGCTTACATTGACTCCGCGGAATAGTTTCTCCCCAATGAGACGGACGTCTGTGTTGTTATCTGCCAAACTAGCCTGGAACAGAAGAAAAGACTAAGTACCTGGATAGTGAGGAGATAGAAGCAAAGGCTATAAGTGGAGAAGTACTCAAGCCCCTCTCCCCAGAGCAACCTCATTAAAGGCTAAAGACAGAATTCAGGTGCATGAATGAGTTTAGAATATTGCACAATGGAGGAAAGAAAAAAATTAATGATCAGATGGGCTACCAAGTGGCTGCTCTTTGGATAAAGCTCAACATATGTATCTTAAAGGCCAAGATGGAAGAAAGGAGTTTTGGTTAAAAAAAACCATCTCCAATGAGTCTCTGAAGAGACAGAGAAGATCTATCCACTTGGGGGCATAAATGATGGGTTCCTAAAGATCTTAGAAGTGCTCTGAAGAAAAGTTTAAGAACAAGTAGATGCAGTGAGATTGAGATGCGTACCTCCTTAGCCAGCATGAAGGTGCGGTTGGTGATATAAGGCTGCTGGAAGTTGGACTTGTCAAGCCTGCAGTGGGAGCCGATGGGCACGGCTGCTCCTCTCTGCACCGACAGGGCCATGAGAAGGAGGCAGCTGGCAGCCAGAGTCCCTAGGAGGAGGGAGCTCACAGATTTCTGCAGGACGGCCATTGCAAACAACTCTTACTCGAGCAATTGGCAACTGAGAAAGGAGAATCTGGTATCAAGAAAACAAGAGGCAAAGACAATATGAGGTAAAAAAAATTAGTCAAGAAGTATCACACCAAACAAACGAATTCTACCAAGTTTGCTGAGACACTTACCTGTTTGGATGATTCTGCTTGTGATGAGAAAGATAGAAGCTGCTGCTTTTATAGCCCCCAGAACACCAGTTTTTTTTATTGTGAAAAATATGACATCAGCAATTATCTAATTTCCAGTACTATCTTCTGAGAACTACCTAACCACCACAGGAGCCCACAAAGCGCCACCTCCCATCCTTCCCACCTTGAGATGCATGCGTTTTCCTAAAACGTCACTATTAGGGCCGACAGGGTGCTTTTACAGATAAATCCCAGAAATTTTCTAAACCCTACATATTTTTCAAAGAAAACAATTGTTTTGTCTTAGTAGAGTCCAGATTTGGTATAATATTCTTTGATCTCCTATAGTAACTGAGTAAGCATTTTGGTCACGGACTCATTTTCCTACTAGCTTCATAGATTCTTATCTCATGAGAGGTGATCAGAAATAAAGGACCCTTGTCCTATATCCTCTGCTTTAAAATAAATGGTAATTATGGCTTAGAGATCATTCTATTTTTTAAAATAATTTTGATCTCATTTTTTAAAACATGCTGAATCCTAAACCAGACTTATGTTTTAAAAATAACAGTCTAGGCTAATCTAATTATTGTTTTCTTCCCATTCTGGGACTATTCTTAAGTGGTCATAATAATTGTGATAGAAGCAAATATATTTTAAAATTTTTGTTCATTGAATTATAATGAATATCAATTTAAGTTTGGCAGTACTAATGAACAACCTGATCATCATTTTTCTTAACATGCAAGATTTTTTTTAGATGAAATAATTTTGTGAAGACAGTAATTCATTTTGAAATTTTATCTAATTCTAGACAGCATAAAAATCTCAAAATAATATTTCCAAATAATTTTATAACAATTTTATGATACATATGGATATCTGAAGAAGAGAATCCAGAAATACAGTGGCTCTATGCCTTTAAATTATTAAAATTGCTTCAAATCTTTTAAAAGCACCTAAAAACTAAACTGAGACACTTCCAAAGAGTGGGAGCAGAAGAGAGCAAGTGCAACTATCAAAATGCAAATATCTATTTCTGGGGGAAGGAATGCGAATTAGTGCAAATTTGTTTGAGCAGATTTTTCTTCTCAGAGCTAGTTAAGATCAGGAGGGTTGAGGAACTGGGAGAAGGGACGTGAATAGTCATAGAATCTGAGCCATTTTGTGAGATGGCACAGACATAAGAGAGGTGCCACAGGAAAGGATCAGAACTGTTTGAGGACACTGAGCATTTGGAAAGATGGAGAAAGATGCAGAAGAGGAGATTAGAGAGAGTCAATAAAACCACATAATCACACTTACATGTGGAATCTAAAAAAATTGAACTCACAGAAGCAAAGAGTAGAATGGTGGCTGTTAGGGACTGAGGAGGTGGGGGGGTGGGGAAATGTGGATGCCAACTTTCAGGAAGAATAAGTCCAAGAGATCTATTGTACATCATGGTGACTATAGTTAATAACAATATATCATATATTTAAAAATTGCTAAGGGCATACATTTTAAGTGTCCTCACCACAAAAAATAAGTATGTGAGGTAACACATATATTAATTAGCTTGATTTTGCCATTCTACGACATATACATACATGATGTATGTATATGCATACATCAAAACATATATGAAATCAACCTAAGTGTCCAACAATGGATGGATGGATAAAGAGAATGTGGTATATACACACAGTGGAATATTATTCAGGCATAAAAAAGAAGGAAATCCTGTCATTTGAGATGACATGGAGGAACTTAGAGGACATCATGTTGAGTGAAATAAGCCAGACACAGAAAGACAAATACCACATGATTTCACTCATATGTGGAATCGAAAAAATAACAAATGGATTATCATAGGAGCAGAGAGTAGAGTAGTGATTACTAGAGACATGGGAGGTAAGGAGGGAGAGGAGGATGGGGAGAGGTTGGTTGGTCAGTGGGTACAAAGTTATAATTGGATTTGAGGAATAAATGTTGGTGTTCTGTTGCATAGTAGGGTGGTTATAGTTAACAATAAAATATTGCACATTACAAAGTAGCTAGAAGAGAGGTTTTTGAATATTCTTACAAAGAAAGATACATCTTTCTAAGAAATGATAAATGCATGAGATGATGGATACACTAACCACACTGATAAGTGTCAAAACAACAAATTGGACTCTATAAATATATAGTACTATAATACAATGTGTCAATTAAATAAATTAATTTTTAAAGATCATGTTGTACAACACAAATACTATATATATATGATTTTTATTTGCCAATTAAAAATAAAGAAATTTTTTCTAAATTAAAGAAATGAGCTATTTCAAATGTTTACTTAGGATTGTTCATAAGCCCAAGAAAAGATGAGGAAACTCTTACTTATCCAAGTTCTTTTTTCTCTCTCTCTCTTTTTTTTTAATTGACACAGGGTCCTGCTCTGATACTCACACTGGAACTCCTGGGCTACAGAAATGTGCCTCCAAGCCAGGCTAATTTTGGGAGGGTCTCACTATGTTGCCTAGACTGGTCTCAAACTCCTGGCCACAAGTGATCCTCCTGCCTAGACCTCCCAAAGTGCTGGGAGTATGGGCGTGAGACACTGTGTCTGGCCCCAATTTTCTATTATGTGAGATATGGCCATTTTTGTCCAGAACTCTGTATAAAATTATATTAGCACTAGATTTAAGCTATTCTATGGATTAAATAGGCTTTTGTTGCTTTGCCTGGAAACTGACAAGCATACATAATTTTGTTCCCATGGAAAAATAAGTTGTAACATCATTGTATTATATGCTTTTGTAGGAAGAGTCTCTTGTCTCTTTCATCTTTGTAACTCTAGCAAGTAGAACAGTACTACGTACACACGAAGGATTCAATGAAAGCATGTTGAATGCATAGATAAATAATTTGTTATCTTGGGGAACATGCATGGACATAATTTGGGGACTGCATTCATAATACTTCTAAAGTTGGAGTTTGACCCAGTCCTACTTACCAGTTTCATTATTGTTTCTGAATAGGAAATAAACATCTGTGAAATAAAAATAGAATGCCAGAAAAGTGCAAAGTAGTCTTTCATGGCAACAATATGTCTCTTACTCAATACATGCCCCTGATGGACCAACTATTAATAACATAGTGTTAATCGAGCCAAGATCTTAGGTTTTAGTGATCTTGACTAAAACTCACTAAAGTGAAAACCCGCTCTGGGGCCGTGAGTGGATTTCTGAACAGTCATACCAGGAGTCTCAAAAGAGAGATTATGGATATAGAATGAAGCTGCTCCTGTGAAAAAACAACTGGAGACATATGTGTGCTAAATAATTTCAGATCATAACAGGTCTTCTTTTTAGTGGTTTCCTTGTGAATTTCCAAGTGTCTTCCAAAGCCATCATAGATGAAGGGTAATACTAGCACCATCCTCCCAGGACCCAGACAGACTGTACCCATGGTTGATCTGAAATACATGCAACAATTTACCTGATCTAATGCCAGGAAAGGCTAACAAGAATCCCCAACCAGGAGGTAGGCTTTAACTGTCTCATTCACTGTGCTATCCCTAGCACCTAGAACAGTGCCTGGCATATAGCAGCAAAATAAATATTCCTTGACTGCATGAATAAAACTACTTCCCAACTTGTTGGCTGATGCTTGAAAATCCATGACTGGAAACGCATTTTTTTCTTTTTTAAAAAATTAATTTAATTTTTTTATTATTTTTTATTTTTGAATCTTTGTATTGGTATTTGGAAGTGTATTCTTTAAAACACATCTCTCCTTGGGAGAAGGAAGATTTTTTTTTGTATCTCAGGCAAAAAAGTTTGTATTCATCATACTCCTCAGCCCAATACACATAATCATTGCTCCGTACGAGTTTGTGTGTGTGTGTATGTGTATGTGTGTGATCCCATGCTCATTATTCTCCATCCCTCCCCACTGAACAGTCATCACCTTCCCTACCACCCGTCATAGGCCACGGATATAATGTTGGATATGCATTTCTGAATACATATGCATGCTTGTGAAACAAAGGAAGTGCTGTTTACTGTGTCTAAGTATTTTTGTTTGAAGAAATAGTTCTCTTTCTTACTTTTTTACTCAGCATGATGGTCTTGCAATCTGTCGGTGTAGCTGTGTGTGCTGTGCTTCCAATGTGGCATTCTGGAGTGTGTCCTCGTCACATTTTACTTAGTCATCCTCCAGTGATGGGCACCTCAGCTGCCTCCAAGTGCCCATTCTACAGACATGACAGCATTAAGCAGCCTCACTTGAATCATTGTGATGGTATCCTTTGAGAATGTTTTTGGAATAGTTACCCAGGAGTAGGTCCACTGGGTCATAGGAGTAAGTATATTAATATTCACTAAATACTGCCTGATTGCTCTCCAGAAAGACAGCATTAATCTACTCTCTTTCATTGGTGAATAAAGCTTTTTCTGTTTCCTTATTTCCCCACCCACACTTGGTATCAGCCAGCTTTACCTTTGCCAATCTTTGAAGGTTTAAAATGGCATCTCATTATGGTTTTCATTTGCATTTTTCTTCATGCACTTATAGCCACTTGGGTTTCCCCCTTGTATGAATTGTCTACCTACATCAGTTGCCCATTTTTCTAGAGGGCTTCGGCCTTCTTCTGTTGTTGGCTTGTAAGAGTTCCCTGTATGTTTTAGATAATTACTCCCTTTTTGGTGATAGACATAACAAGCTCTTCTCCCAATCTGTGATCTAGATTTGGCCTTCTTTGAACAGAAAACTTAATTTGAATGTCATCAGTACATGCTTTTCACTTTACAAGACTTTGTTTTAAAAGCCTCTCTGCATCCCTAGGCCACCAAAATATTCTTCCATCTTGTCTTCTATTTATTCTATGGTTTTGCTTTTCACAGCCAGGTCTTTAATGCATTTTTATACATG